TGCTTCTGGACAAATCATTTCTGGGGATGATTTCCCAGGTATAAACCATCGTCTATGATCGTCTATGGGGCTTGGTTGGCTATTGAGATCAGGACTTAACACAGACTTGTCATGCATATTTAACAATCCAAATTTTATTGTTATGATATTCTCATCAAATGGATAGTTAAAGAATAGTCGTTGGATACTTTACCAGTCGAGCAATGTTACCATATGTTATCCCTTGCTGCCCTTTCTAGTGGTTGGGTAGTCGAACGGGATTCCCCCCATGGATTATGATGATCCCATTTAATCCATTTAATCCTCGATAGGCCTCGATATATTCTGGTTGGTGGTATACCTACCCCTCTGAAAAATATGAAAGTCAGTTGGGATTATGAAATTCCCAATATGTGGGGAAAAATGTTCCAAACCACCAACCAGTATTGGATGGCAGAGCCACATATTGTCCCATCAACGTGTGAAGGAAGTGCGGCACCTCAGCGTAGGCATAGGCTTCTTCGTCTACCTTGAAAACGAAGTCTGAGACAGGAAGGATGGATTATTGAAGGGAAAATCCACAGGGAAGCAAGTTTTGACCGCAAACATATCGGGTTTTCAGAAGCATACTTTCCTTTGAAAGAATTTTGAGACTTCATCTATTTTCAGGATGTTCAGCACATATATAGATATATATACCAAATGGCTATAAAGCTTTAAACCCTTCGAATCCCATTTTTCCCCAACATGAACTGCACAGCCAATGTTGTGGGATTGACAAGTTCTGTATTTGTTTGAAGGGCTCCAACAAGAGTACTGTAGGAAAAGATGCCCCTTTGATTATTCGATTCCCAAGCTTGGATGGGTTGACAACTGACGTGTAAAATCTCTTGAACAGTAGGACATGTGGTGTGGGCTAAGCAACCAAGAATGATCCTCATCCCTGGAAACATTGGCATTTAATATGCTCCCATCGCTCGTCTCCTCATCCTAGTGTCAAACACTTCGCTTTATGGATCCATATGTGCTTCCCAAGGCGAAATCATGACTTAAGATGGATTGGTTCAAGGAGAACTCTGCAAGAAACCCCTTTTTCTACTGCAAAGTGTAAGCTCTTCGTGCAGATATTCCTTTAAGCCATTTTAAGCCACACCTGGGATTACTGTACATGAGACTGGTTCGGGTCATGAATTTTGGTCGACCTATTAACCCAAGCAAATCTGTCAGATCTGATCCAGCTGAAATTAGTTTGGAACATGTTTTTGCTTCAGTTCTCTGTGATTCTTGATGTATATATGAATTATATATGTATGTATTGCCTTCCTTTCATATTGACATGTCATGAAACGTCAAATTTTAAGACCTATCTCATGTTGTTATGTCCTTCCCAGTGCGTGCGTCCTTGTTGCGAAGAGCAGCTGAAACGTTGTTTTCCATGGCACAGCGTGTTCGTTCCAGTGCAGTCATTTTGGAGTAATATCCGTCACCGACCATCTCTTGAAAACACGTATCTCCAGAAGGAACGATCCATTTAAACTAGATATTTCTCCATCACATGCAGGAATCCTCTGAATGCCGTCTTGAACGTATCATGGCTAAGACGTCTCCCAAGATGAAATGGCCCCCAGGATGGTCCAGGATGGTGTTCACTCCCCGGATACCATGGTGACCATGGTGGATGGGATTGGTAAAAAAAAATGGGACCCTGGGGTGTTGTTTATTTTTAGAGGGATGGGATGAAATCCATCTTTGCCCTTGTCCAGAAGGGTCCACGGGCGAATGTCATCTGCACACTGCGAATCTCCGTAAAGCCTCATGGCCTGCTTCAGAAAACCACGTCTTGGACCACAGTCGGTACACTGGACCGAAATGTGTCTGCTCACCGCCATTTTGGGTATGAGTAGGCCGAATTGAGGAAATCCGGCCAATCTCCGCATTCTCGATCTTGTTGAAGATCGGTGCCAGTGAATTGAACAGGGTAGGTGACCACAATACACCACAATGCCAGAATAGGCAGTTTCTTTGGTTTGCACTGGTCAAGACTTGCTGCACTGGGTTTCATTTGTTTCGCGTTGTGAAGCAACATGGGTCTTGTGATTGGTGTCCATTCCATGGGATAGAGCCATGTAATCCATGTTGCTTCTTTACCTATGTTGATTGGCTACATACCCATTGACTAATTAATCAATGGTGTCATTTATCTTATCTGCTGCCTCACTGGCATCAACTGTTCTCAAGTTGTAGGTCTTATGTGGGATTCCATCTCCCAATGAAATTCTTTTGGGTTTGAACCTTTGAACCCCTCATATTCCCTCTTACCATCTCTTACACATAGAATTGGATGATGGGAAATTTTACAGGAAAGCCCTATATTTGATGGTAAAAACCATGGTTTCCTGTAGATTTCCCTTAAACCAATCCAATGACTTACCAAAATTCAAATCAAATCTCGGACCTGATGACCCCCCAGCCCGTCGCACGCCTCGTCCTCCTGAGGATCTTCGTCCTGATTTCGGGTCTGGACTTGTCCGAACATCAGGGATTTTTCCCCAATCTCTCTCTCTCTCTCTCTGTATCAGAGCCCTGGGCTACTCCTAACAGGGCCACTCCTAAAAGTTGCTATCCTTTCAAAAAATAAACAATTCCAAAAAAAAATCTCAAAAATTCAAAAACAGACCTTCCAAACAGTCAATCCAACAATTCAACAAGAAACTCGAAACCTAAAAAAAAACACAAATCACCCCAAATCTGGCCTAAGGTTAAGGAAGTCAAAAAGTGACAAGATGTTTTTTGGGAACATTTGTTGGGTTCCATCCACAACCGCCATTGACTCAATATGATTCCAATAATTGATGTTCATTATTACCCGAGTTCAACTGTTCAATGGAGTCGTGGTTGCCCTTGCGGCAACCAACCTCAGAATCAATTCTGATGATATCATCATTTTAATTTGACAAAATAAAATAAAAACATTTAGACAGAGCGGTCTATACCCTGAGTCTCGAAATCTACTGTAGTGTTTTTAGTAGCCCGTTAATTTACTTAAGTTTTCAAATTTACTAGTAAAATTTACTAGGACCTAGTAAAGTAAATTTATCAATTTACTAGCCTAGTAAAATTTACTAGCAAAGTAAATAAATTTACTAGCCAAGTAAATAAAATTTACTAAGCAAGTAAATTTTTGGCTTGCTTGTTTTTTCAAACAAAAGTGTTAAAATTTTGATAGCTGGGAGCTAAAATTTTACTTGTGAGACTGTAAGATAATTGTGAATTTTCAAAAACTAATTGTGACATATTGTGACATGTGAGGATACCAGTGATGTTTTTCAGGTGCTTGCGAGACTCTTAGTAAACTTGTTGGAATCAAGCAGATGTTTTTAAAACTTTGAGTTTTAGCTTGAAATGTAAAGATTGTGGGTCCTTCGGTTGTCATTTCAAAACAAATTGTAAGACTTGAAGCTAGTGCAAAGGTAAGTATTAAATTCTATAGGTTCTTATTTTGATTCCAAAACTATTCGAGACTGTAGGATACTTGTGAGACGAAATCGAATTAAGTCACTTTTGTTTCCACCGCCATAGATGATTACAAAGATAAGATAGAGGTGAAGGCAAGTCATCACATGTACAATGCATTTGCTAACTTCTAGTCATCGCTTGGCTTCCACCTCACAAGTAATTTTCACATATAAGCCTCATTGTTTGCTTTTAACCTCACAATTTATTTCCACATGTAAGTGTCATTGTTTAGTTTGAACCTCACAAGTAATTTTCAACTGCAAGTGTTATTGTGGGGTTTTAATATCACAGGTAAAATTCACATGTAGGTGTTATTCTTGGGTTTTAACATTACAAGTGATTTTCACATGTAGGTGTTATGGTTTAGTTTTTACCTCACAAGTAATTTCCACATGTGAATGTAACTGTTTAGTTTTGAATAGTTTTGACCCCACAAGTAATTTCTCCATATGGGGTTGTCTCAAAATGAGGTGTCCGTTTTTTCCCTTAAAGGGGCCATTTTGGAACCAAAAACGGACACCTCATTTTGAGACATATCCATATAAATTCTACACCAATATTTTTCAAGTCAGTCAGACGTTTTTTTTTTGGGAAAAACAACGCAGCAACAACGATTTTGAAAGAAAATCGTTGAATATGGCTAAGTTCCTAATTAGCTATGTTTCAAATCTTATATCTAGATGAAAATTCACATGTTGCTGACTTATATTTGCTCAGCTCAGCGCTGAACAACAACTTCCACTTGTGAAAATATCAAATAGTACAAACCACAAGAAAATGAAAACTTAAGTTGTTCAAACAATTATGCATTTATACCTTTGAAAGTGTTACTTGTGGAGTACTTGTGGTGTAATTGTTTCTCAGTTTCACGAGCATTGTTTTTCTATGGTGTTTTGCTTGCAACATGGCTGTTGCATTTGTTGGACTACATGTGCCTCACTTGAGAATTTCATGTTGATGTAGCCACTGTTGGATATAGATTAGCTGCCCAACAGATGAGGTTTTACCTCTGGCCTGTTCAATCTATCCATGGAAAAAATAGATTGATAGAAAAGTAGTTTCCCCGGTTTTGCTCTGACTTGACTGCTTGTGATACTATCTCAATAATATCTTTGTGTTTAGAGTTTTCTTTTAAAAAAATGAAACTAAGGTGGCCTTATTTTTTTGAAGTAAACCCTCCAGAAACCAACTAAGGCTGCCTTATTTTTTGCAGTCTCTCCATGTTAGTGACAAGCCTCAGGATGACGATGGTGCATCCCCTTTGTCCATTTGACATGGTTCAAACCATGTCACCTTTGATTTTTTTGAGCTGGGAAAATTTATATACAGCAAAACAAACAAAAAAAGTATGAAGAACATAATATCAGATCTATCTTGGGCCATGACCAACTGTACCAAATAAGGAATCATCCTCGAAAAAAAACAGTTATTGTTTTCTGACTGCCAAAGTCCATCTGATGTTGAGCACAAATTTCAATTATGTTTTAATTAGGTTTGTTTAGTTAAGATTTTTTGGTTACTCATATAATTCCTATGCATTGCTTGTGTCATTGGTTTTGTGTATTTGTAGAAAAACAAATTGATATATATTCTAATGATTTTTTTTTGCATTTCTTAAGCATTTTTTATGCACTTCTTATGCGCTTTTAATGCACTTTATAAAAGTGCATAAGAAATACATGTACTTTAATTTAAAGTACATGCATTTCTTATGCACTTCTTATGCGCTTTTAAAAGGTGCATAAGAAGTGCATAAGAAATGCATAGAAATGCATAAGGAATACATAAGACATGCATACAAAAAACCTATAAATTCATGATTGGCCCATCAAAATTTATCAGAAAATGTTTAAAAACACAAGGTTTTACTGAAAGGGAAATGCACAATCAAAGCATTACCGTAACACATGTAAAAGACTCAATTCTTCTCAAGTACCATGGATCTATCAAACCATTGCAAAAAGATAAAAACCTTGGCTCAACTCAGGTATCCCAAGTATATAACATATTTGAATAAGATTCCACATGTATATCAGGTTTGCTTAATCTCATGTACCACAGGTATCTGAAGGAGTCCACAAGTAAGACGAAACCTGGGCACAAGTCAACTCCATGAAATATGAGCATCACAGGTACATGCAATACACTCTCAAGTAAATTCTAAGTGTACAAAGTACAAACTGCTCTCCACAAGTACCATCAGGTTTGCCACCCAAAACATCATCACCTTTGTTTTCCACATACGTGGATGGTTTCTAAAAAAATTTACCTCAAAGAAAGAAGGCAGCCCCCCTCTAAGACTTGATTGGTGTTACCTCAAAAAATATTGAAACACAAAGTTTCAATTGATACAGCGTCACAAGTAATCACAAGTAAGTTGACCCAAACGTAGAGAAACTATCTCACTACCAATTTGGCATCGTCACCATTGATTATAGCCAGAGGTAAAACCTCATTTGTTATGCAGTTATCCTCAATGAATCACAAAAGCACTAAACTAAACATAATATTCCTTAAGTAATGCAATGGTGAAGAACTTTTTTACCCAACAGTGACTACATACAACATGAAAGTCTCAAGTAAGGCACAAGTAGTGCAGGATGGGCCTTTTTTCAAACAATCACATTCACATGTTCAACAATTGTGACAGCCATGATATCATAGATATTATTGAGATAGTATCACAAACAGTCACAAGTCAGAGCAAAACCGGGGAAACTATGTTTCTATCAATCTATTTTTTCCATGGATAGATTGAACGGGCCAGAGGTAAAACCTCATCTGTTGTGCAGCTAATCTATATCCAACAGTGGCTACATCAACATGAAATTCTCAAGTGAGGCACATGTAGTCCAACAAATGCAACAGCCATGTTGCAAGCAAAACACCATAGAAAAACAATGCTCGTGAAACTGAGAAACAATTACACCACAAGTACTCCACAAGTAACACTTTCAAAGGTATAAATGCATAATTGTTTGAACAACTTAAGTTTTCATTTTCTTGTGGTTTGTACTATTTGATATTTTCACAAGTGGAAGTTGTTGTTCAGCGCTGAGCTGAGCAAATATAAGTCAGCAACATGTGAATTTTCATCTAGATATAAGATTTGAAACATAGCTAATTAGGAACTTAGCCATATTCAACGATTTTCTTTCAAAATCGTTGTTGCTGCGTTGTTTTTCCCAAAAAAAACGTCTGACTGACTTGAAAAATATTGGTGTAGAATTTATATGGATATGTCTCAAAATGAGGTGTCCGTTTTTGGTTCCAAAAGGCCCCTTTAAGGGAAAAAACGGACACCTCATTTTGAGACATCCCCATATGGAGAAGTTACTTGTGGGGTCAAAACTATTCAAAACTAAATTAACCCAGCTTTGCAACCCAACAGCATACCTGAATCTTCCACCTACGTCTTTTTTCAGACCCTGTGCCAAAATCCTGTTTTTTTCAGTACCCAGAAAACTTTTCAGGACCTACTCTCAAATTCAGGACCTGGCCATTTTGGGGTATCAATGATAATGGCAATCATTGGGTGCAAATATGTGAAACCAACATTTGGGGGATATTCAAGCCATTGGCATTGATCCACGCAAATAAAAGCACTCCCAGCCCAAACTCATGGCAAGGCAGGATCAGAATATAGTATATTCCAGAAAGTATGTCAGAATAGATGCCAGATAGGATGCCAGAAAGAATGTCAAATAGAATCTCAGAAAAGAATGTAAGATAGTATGTCAGAACATATATGCCACATATACGTGCAGATGATATGTCAGAAACTATGTCAGAATAGTGTGTCAGGGTGGGGATCACTCTTAGTAAGGCAATTTTGAAAATATATTTCAGGTTCGGAATTTTCAAACTGTTGTCCTTCAGGCGCCGAAGCTCCCGTTGAAGGTCAGCATCGCCCCATGTCAACTGGTCCAGTCCCACTTCCATTTCAACAAGTCCAACTTCATCGATTAGGGTGTTGGTTGAATGGACTTG